TTAGTGATCCTTGCAAGGTTCAAAATGTACCAGATAGTTCCGTTCCACTTTTGAAGCACATGGGTGTCCGTGACAAACTGGTAGTGGGCTATGGGAAGTCAGATCTTCAGCCGCTCTGACTGAGCCTCTCTGAACCCCAAACTACAGTGTGCTGAATGAAATACAGGATGGGGCCACTACTCTGCCTCCACACTCCCTCCCACTTGGCCTGCCTAGGCCTTGGACTGGCCTCCCCAGCACTGCACTGGAACCAGCTCCTGGGGCCAAAGTTGGACCACTAACCCCAACCACCCCCAATCCCAGCCCCGCCACCAGGTTCCCCATGCCTCCATCCAGCTCCACTATCGATCAGCATCCCTGCCTAGCACTGTGGTACTGCGGCAGCTTCCGGGTCATTTCTTTTAAATCAGTTGTGCATCTCACCAGGGAGAATCAACTTCACTGGCACTGGGCAGTTAATTTGGCAGGATTCAGAGGGCAAGAAAAGGGCCTGAATAGGAGCTCTGGGACGGGGCTGGGAAGGGAAGTGGGTTAAGAAGTGAGCAAGCCAAAAGGGGTACATAGGGGGATTCTGAGGGTGGGGTCTTTGATACAGATTTTCCCAGCTTCACCGTCCAATCTGCTGTTTGGGTTTCCGATGCAAATCCTAGATAACTAATGTTTTTCTTTGGAGGGAGAAAATTGGATGTTACTCCTCAAGCTGTAGACCCCAGAGTAGTGGTCCTCAACCTTCCTAGTGCCGTGACCCTTTAGTACAGTTCCTCATGTTGTGGTGACCCCCCCCCCAACCATAAGATTATCTTCGTTGCTACTTCCTAACTGTAGTTTTGCTACCGCTATGAATTGTAATATAAACACCCAATATGCGACCCTAGGGGTAGCGACCCACAGGTTGAGAAACACTGCCCTAGACCAAGCACCTAGGTCTAGGGAGGTCTTGCGTTGGGAATGTTCTCAGCCAAATGCACTCCAGGAGAGGTCAGAGGAAGTGCACAGTACACAGGGAAGGGGTCTCAGCCCTCTGATGCTCAGGGGTACCAGCCCGTTAGCTGCTGTGTAGCCCACATAGAGGGTCCACAGAGGCCCCCCTGGCTCAGGCACGGGTTGCTTTACTCCCAGGAGGTTAGGAAGTGAGCTGGCTTTTGTACAAAGAGCATCAGTACTGCTCTTCCATCCAGCTCTGCCCAGTGGGACCTTGACTGCTTTGGCCATAATTCTGGGGGCTAGAAAGAGAATGGACAGGCACTGACTGGGTAAAGGAGAGATCTGGCCAGAAATGCCCCCCCCCTTTCCCTCTGCCCTCTGTTTGAAAGGGCAAGGGTCAAATCCTCGGTAATAACTGATGTATCAAGGGCAAATGAATAGAGGAAACAACCAACCCACACTAGCCAATGAACATCTGTTGTGAATTCTCACACCTGCACACACACACACACACACACACACACACACACACACACACACACATCCCCATTTCTTACAGGGGTAGGAAGATTCTTAGGGATGGGGACTGAGGTTCACTGCTCAGGTTCACGGACTGACTAGAATAAGTGAACATAGTTGTCCACAAAAAAAACCCCTGAAATGCATGAGACACATGTTCTCTGGAGAGAAAGCCCCTTCTCACAGTACCCCCCGGCAGGTGTCTGGGAGCCACTGTGATATTCCTGGCAAGACTAGGAATTTGCAAGCTGCTCATTCTGTACGTAAGTACTACACCCAATCTAGGCAGCATATATGAAAACCCAAGCTAGGCACATGCCAAGGAAGTATGCATGCGTTTATATCTAGCACACGCATGCATCCTTTCTGTATGCAGAACTTGACAAAATGATGAGAGCCCAGCTTTAGAACGGCACACACATAGGCGCTCACACCAAGCACACAGGAGACCTGTAGGTAAAGTCAGAAAACTGCAAGGAACACGGCATTGGTATTTGTGGCAGACCTATGTAGAAATATAGGCGTGATTGACAGGGGCCACAGGCTGGTGACACCCAACGGGGCACAGGCCCTCCAAAGTGAAAGCTGCTTGCTGGTGGAGTCCAGTGACTGTTTTCTTCGGCGGAGGAAGAGGCAAGGAGTTGACCCAAACTTGCTTTTTCTGCTGGCCATGATGAGAGAAAGAAGTGTAACTCTCAAGTTTTCCCCTTTGTCCTCACACAAAAAGCCCCCTGCTCCTGATGTCACTGGGTCTAGTCTGTTCCAGAAGTCACTCTGAAGCAGCGACAGCCTCTTTCCTTCCACACCCCTCGGTTTGGGTTCCTTGGCTGCTCTGGGTCCATCCACATTGTCTACACCGAGGCAGCCATTTCTTTTGGGTTGAAAGGCCCAATGTCTGGGTCAAGTATGTGAGGAGCAGGCTACAGAATGGAGGTCCAAGCCTGGTGGGTTTTAGATCGCCTCTTTCCAATCTCCTGGCGATGTCAGAAATACGGCTGCACTGGACTGTTTCTATGGGCAGTGGGCACACACGGAGATTCTGACATTGTGTGCCAGGCCGGCTGGGGAGTCGGCTGGATGCCCTGATTCTAAGAAGGGACCCCCTAAGGAACCCTCCGCCCCGTGTAAGCGCATGCGCTCTCGTGCACCTAGGGCACCTCCAGGCCAGTCAGACCCTCTGCCCAAGCCGGCCCACGTAAACCCCCCTGGTGTTGTGGGGCCTAAAGACAAAAGGAAATCGGAAGTCAAAATTAGTTTGGAAGCGGGAGCGAAATTCCAGGCCCTTTTCTCCCTAATCCTCCTAGCTTGGAAATTGAACTTTCAAGTGAAGGCAAGTTTGCTGAAATTACCTCTTTGGCCCCTCCTCGAGCGCAGGCCGCCCTGGCCCAGAGCGGCAGAAGCGCTTACTGCCCGCCAGCCATCCTTGGGAACTGGGTAGCCCCAGCCGGCCAGGGAAGCTTGGGGCCAGCAGAGGAACGTGGTTAGGAAGGGATGATGCTTTTGTTTTGTTTCAGGTTTTCATTTAACCATATGCAACCCAACCCAAATCCCACAGAAGCTGAAGGGAGACCGGGTGACTCCAAAAGACAAGGGGGAAAAAAATCAAACAGATAGGTCCAGACTATATATAAAGGCAAGTGACCCAGTCAGACAAGGGTGGTAAGGAAGGCGGGAGGCAAGAGCATCCTGATTTTAGGCCCTGAAGTCAGAAAACTACCTACTTCTTCTTCTTCCCTGTCCCTATCCCCCCCACCCGGGATCATAGTTAACTATTTTACGCCTCCTCCACAAAAGGGGAGGAGGGCAACAAAGACAAATTTTCAGCTATGTCCAGGGTGCTTGGGTTAGGGGACCGTGTGTCTTTCTATTTTTAAAAAAGCAAAGTAGCAACCAGAGGCTACCAAACATCCCAAGGACCCACCAGGGCGGCGGATGCTGCAATCTCAGGGCAAAGCGCTTCGGGGAAGAGTTCAGGCCTGACACCGTGTCGTGCACGAAACTCGTTGTAACCCCCATGCCTCGGGCCCTCTCGGCCTTTCTCTCAGGATGCTGCTGGGGCTCTCTTGCCCAGCAAGTGTTTGTTCTCAGTTTTCGACTCCGCTTCCAGAAAAATCTCGGACCCAGCTTTGACATCCTTCCTCAGGCTCTGGAGGGCCGCAGAGCTAGAGAGAGCAAGCCCGAGGCTGGGCCGCTGCACCCGGGAACTGTCGGCCTGAGCGGACACAAACACCAGTCTCTGGGAGTGATAAGAAAATGGAGAATACTGTATTTGCTTTAGAAAGTTTTTTTTACATATAGATAAACACGCAGTTAAGATAACAGTAAAAGCGCCCTATGGGAGTGAATGAGGCCTCCGAAGCGGCTAGGAAAAACTTGAATAGCTTTTGCATAAGAATACTACGGCCTCACTCAGCTTTCGCTAGGGAGAGGGTCCCTCTCTCGCCCTAACCCTGGCCACCTCGCCAAGCCTTGACTGACAAGTCGACGCCTGGGACCTCGAGTGGGAGGAGGAACCCCCAAAAGGAAAGAGGTGAGTGGGCAGGGAAGGAGGGAGGAGAGAGGAGGAAGAGGAAGAAAAAGCAGGTATCATATACAAGCAATTTCTACACATATATTACAAACTGGGAAAATGACCGATCATTAAGATATACATAATTCATATAAAATTTTGAAATAAAAATAAAAATCTGTTACAGTCATAACTATTCTTTTTCCACATTTATAACCAGTACCCACACAGGCAGTGACAGAGTGGAGAGGAAAAGGTGCTTACGAAGAAAATGATTGTCTGTTGAACAAAAAACAAAAGATTCTATCTTGTTTGACCAATACTTGGACTTAAAAACAGAGAGAGAGAGAAAGAGAGAGAGGGAGAGAGAGAGAGAGAGAGAGAGAGAGAGAGAGGAGAAAAGAGAACAGAAGGAAGAAACATTTGCTATTTCTCTCGAGGAGTTCTTTCTTTCCTTTTTTAAAAAACAAATTCAGAACGGAGATGTCAGATTTTTTTTTTTCCTTTTTTTGTCTGTTTGCTTTTGTCGTCTTGTCGCGGCGGCGGTGGTTTTTGTATGGTCGACTCCTTAAATCATTTTAAACTAGAGAGAATATTTTCCCAGATACAAATAAATCGTCATGCAGGTGGGGTGCCGGGTCCGTGGGAACCAAAAGGAGAAACCGTGCTTGTCCTGGAAAGTATACAATTGTCACCTCTTTTATGTTTTCTGCCCGCAACATTAGCGTTTGTGACTGTCTGTTGGCGTCGCGGTCCTTTGGGGTGGCCGTGGTGGTAGGTAGTGGTGGGGGGATTGTTGATGGTTTGAGGTTAATTTATTTTTCTTGTTATATATATATATATATAATTTTTGGCTGGGGTGGGAGTGTGTATGGACTTGTGTGTGTGTGTGTGTGTGTGTGTGTGTGTGTGTGTGTGTGTGTGTGTGTGTAGGGTTGTGCATTAGCTTGGTGAAGTAATCTAGGGATGGAGCAGAAGGATGAGGAGCTGGGA